ATTTCATGTTTCTAGCTGCATAAATGGAGGAGTTATAACGAAAAATCCCATATCTGAACAATCAGTTGTATGGAGGATATAGGTTATAGCGACCCGATCTTCGCCATTTTTACTGTAAGTAATATCTTGATAATTAGTGGCAGCAGTGCAAAATTTCAAGTGCCTAGCTACATAAATAGAGGAGTTATAACGAAAAATCGTATATCTGAACAATCAGTTGTATGGGAGATTTAGGTTATAGTGACCCGATCTTTGTAATTTTCAGTGTAAGTCTTTTGATGATAATGGGAGGAAGTATTGCAAAATTTCATGTTCCTAGCTGCATAAATGGAGAAGTTATAGCGAAAAATCCCATATTTGAACAATCAGTTGTATGGGAGCTATATGTTATAGTGGTCCGATTCTTCCGGTTCCGACAAATGATTAATACATTATAAAAATACACCCACCTACCAAATTTCATCCGGATATCGCGAAAACTGAGAGACTAGATTGCATACAAACAGACAGACAGACGGACAGACGGACATGGCTAAATCGACTCAGCTCGAGGTTGTGATCATTTAAGTATACATTTTAATGTGTCTATCTCTTCTTATTCTGGTACTTACAAACATCGGACCAAAGTTATAATACCATTTCATGCTCATGAAAGGTATAAAAAGGCTGTTTATGCAAATAAGCGAGCCCGTTTTTCATCCGAGTTATCTCTTAATAAATATTTAAAGAAGCGCTGAGCGCGTATAATTTAAAAGGGGTAAATTGATAAGTTTCCATTTAAATTTTTTAGGAATATGATAGATGTGGGCGCTATGGACTTACACAATCTTGAAAACGAGGAGTATAACGATAGAATAAAATTATATTCCCAACGCTTGCAGCAACAATGGAATAATATTCAGCATCCAAGTAAAGGAGCTTCAGGTACGTTTTAAATAAAATATATGTATGTATTAGACCGCCTCTACTCGCTAATGTCCGCCTCACCGCGCATGTTCGTATACCTTTAGGATAAAAAATAAGGTATTTAAAAAACATAATAAGGTATTGTAGTGGAAAAGATTCTTCTAATTATTTGTTTATAAGTCTTAAAATAGTAATTTCGCGAGAAAAGTGATATGAGCTACATGATTCAGAATAAATGTTGGAACATTGGTTTGGTGCATACTTTCGACCTGCACCTATCGTGCGAACAAAGTCAAAATTTTAATGCTAACGTTTCCTTGAAGTACAAAATTACGGTGACCAGATTTCTGTTAACAAAAATCGGGACATTTATAAAACATCGCATCCGAACATACAATTTGGTTTTTAGAATAAAAAGACTCGACGTCTTTTAATATAGGTTAATTTAAGAGAAAGAAACTTAAAAAAAGATCGCAAAAATGTATACATACAATATATACGGTGTCGAGAATGTAAATAGGCAAAAGATATTTTAGCAGTTCTGGATACTTTTCTTTGCTAAAAAATGTTTATTATTTTTTATGAAAATAAAGCTTACTATCTAAAAAACCATGTAAATTCATATTTTAAGCTTTGTAGAACATTTACAAAAGGTCGACGAATTTTAAAAAATCTATCAAAATTTTATACTTTTCAATTCGAATTTTTTAAGCATGCAGTTTTGTAGCCCATTAAATTTGAATATAAGTTCGAAATAGCTTAGACTTACCGTTGATTTGGCAATTTTTTGTTCGCGAATTTTCTTCCATATGTTCGAAAATTTTTTTGTATGGAGAACAAATATTTTTTTGTATGTAGCAACACCTTCCACAAAAAAATGACCAAAAAAAAAACAAAGGTAAGCTAGCTACTTAAAATGTACTTCGTTTTATTAAAGGTGAATGGGCTATAAAACTGCATATTCAGTATGTTTCTAAGAAATCTAATTTAAAAGCTCAAAGTTTTGATGAAACTGTCGAATTTTGCTAATTTTTGTACACAGTTTGATTGAATGGTTTTTGTTTTATAACGAGCTACAATTTCATAAAGACTTTTTTTGTATAATACGTACATATTTATATGTATATTGTATCTTTCTTTCGAAACTAACAATAAGTTTTCAAATCTTACAGACTACCATTAAATTAAAAATTTCTGCGGAAATGCTTAGAAATTTTGTAATTTTTTACATATATATTTATTGCAGTTGTTGCGGCTCTTGCAGCTGTCGGAATCGACAAGATTCTACGCAGCAGGATCGCTGGATAACGTGGTGGGCAAGCGTTCTGAAAGGACGAGTTCCGTACCGTCTTCGCTTCTCTGTATTTAAGTAACTACAATCCAGTAGACTGCGTTCGGTCGGAAAGGATAAGTTTCCGGGCCGCCTTACCCTGGTGTTGGGTAGTCGATCTGAAAGAACGAGTTCCGTTGCCCAAATTGATATATTGCGTATATCGAAATCTATACATAGTATAAAGGAAAAGTCGAGATTCTTTGTACGCGGTAATCTCGAAGCCTACTGAACGGATTTTGACGAGATTTTCTCTAATATACTCTGTATCCATCAATCATAATAAACGTAGGCGCCAGTTCTGCACCGCCACTATCAAATGAAAATACTTAGTCTCAGATGTGTAATAATATATCATTTTTCTGAGTAGGGTTGCCACCTGCTTAAAAACTATAAGATCTTCACCGTTCGTTGGATAAAAAATTAGATACCAAATGAAATTGAATGGCCTTCGCATGTACAAAAACTTTAATTTATGATGACATGATCTCTCTCTCCAAATACGTAAAAATGCATACATTCAGCGCGTGGCGAAGCCTCGCGCATCCGTGGAAGGCTAGTTTATTAAATTGCGCATGATTTGATAATATCGGAAAAATCCTTTTTTTTTTTGTTTTCTTGCATATTCCGGGCTAAGAAGATCTCTCGCTAGTTGAGCTGGATGGTTCATTAACCGTGCTGAGTAACTGGTGCTAAGCCCTCTTATCCCCTCATGCACCGTATTTACATTAAGATCTTTGTAGATATTCGTATTTTTTATGTATCACGGTGCTCCGCCTATGGCGCGTAAAATTTTCGACTGCAGTCTTTGAAGTCTGTTCAAAACTGAATTCCACGCTGTGCCCCAAAGCCCGATTCCATATGCCCAAAATTGCTTAATCATCATATTAAAAATTAACATCTTGTTATCTAGGCTTAATTTAGATTTGTGTCCTATAACCCATTGAAGGCTTGCTTGTTTTATTTTCGCTCGAAAAATTTTGTTTTCTATATGCTTTTTCCAGGTAAGTCTTCTAAGTAGTGTCGTCCCAAGGTACTTGACACTACCTTTTTGTGGTATAGGCTGGCTGTTTATTTTAAGTGCTGGCTCTTTAGGGTCTGAACTAGGAATGTTAATCCCGCGATCCCGGGATCCCGAACTTATTAAGGTCTCGAAAATCCCGGGATTCTTGGCAAGCAATCCCGGGAATTTCGGGATTTGTAATTTGCTCTGATGGAAATAATAGAAACTCCTTTTCTTGACCAGTATTGGCTATATTTCGTTTTTTATATAATAATTAATATTATTTTATAAATGTCTAGCTCAGTATATATAACACCGCGCGATAGTAAATTTTAAACACAAATATCAATATATTCGCGAAACCCTGGGCCAAATATAGTAAAATTGCGTTTTTAGTTTTTCACTCTGACGTCAGTAATTCAAAAATGATTTTAAAAATTCATAGAAATGTGCTTAGAGAGGAAGTATGGGTATAAAATTAATGACGAAAGCTGTAGAATTTAAACAGATTCAAGTTTCTGGTGCGGAAGGGCTGGTAAATATTGAAAATGTCATTTTAATATTTTATCCTTGAAATTGTTTTTGAAAAAATTATATGTTAAGGGCTTATATAAACTCGATAACAGCTATGAATTTTAAATTCTAAAGAAATTTCCTATTGCATTTGTTACCCATATTTTTATTCTACATTGCATTGAACTTTTTTAACAATTCTTGGAATTAATCATATCTCGGAAATTACAAAGTCCTTCAAAATAAATGGTGCGGTCAGAAAAAATAAAAATAAAAAGGCCACTTTAAATAAAAAGTAGGTTTCAAACCTATTTATTTATTATTTATTTCATGGTAGGAGAGCTTCTCAAACAATATAGAAGCAATTTTTTCGATTCAAGTTTTTGAAAAGTAATGAATATCTAAATCCCGGGATCCTGGGATTGGGACAACGCCATCCCGAAAATCCCGGGATCGGAAAAGCCGAAAAATCAAAAATCATTGCTTGGGATAGCAGTGTCATCAGCAGGGAATGGATTTTTAGGACCTAAAATCTTATAAAAAAAAGCAAAATAAAATAACGAAATAGGCTGGAAAAGGCAAAATAAAATAGCGAAATCGGCAGGAAGAGACACTAGAAATAGTAAAAAAGGCAAGTGAAGGCACTAAAAAAAGAAAAAAAACTGAAAAAAAAACACTGGCTTACAGGAAAAATATTCAACGGACGCCACTATCCAATTCCTATACGGAACTGCTCGCTGATTCCGAAAACCGAGTTAATTTTTTATTCTATGGATAAGTTTTCGAGATATTTACATACATGGCGTATGAGTATCATTCTTTCCTGCTCATTTTTCATACAAAACATCGTTGCGCATTTTCACATCGCACACCAAGATCTAAACTCAAAATTCAGAGAGGGAAATTTAACTGCTTGTGGATCGTACAGATTCAACGCAACTAATACAAATACAGATATAACAGTAGTTTTTTAGTTAATGTATGAAGAAAATAATATTTTCTTTAATTGGAAGTAAGTGCTATGAAATGATATTTGCAAACAAAATCGCCGACATTTTTTCTAAGTTGATAGCACTTTAGCTCTTTGTGTGCGATATGATCATTTATTACTTCTTTATTTATCCATCGATTTTCTCCATTATCAACTTGATATTTCTGTAATAGAACAGGCTTTAACACAGCTTTGAATGTACTAAACGTGCGTTCGAAGTGAGTTGATACCAGTGGCGCTCAATTTAAATATGGAACTTTTGAAACTTTTATATTATGAGGAATAAAGGTTTTCTCTTCGCTATTATCAAATGTGTATATATGGAATCAAGTTCATTCTCAATTATGAAATGCGACCCTGAGCGTTTGTAAAGATAATTGTTTTTTAAGTAAGTGGCAACGCAGAAAACTGGTTCTCTCTTTCTTGTTATCCAACTTCGTTGATCACTTGTCATCGCATTTTGAGTGCTCGCAATTATAACTAAAATAAATACATAGATATTAAATATACGTGGAAAATAAATCTTATTTTATTGTGGGCATCCCACATATGGTGACCACGACGGAAATCAAAATGGCCGAGGATGAATCAGAAAACCAGTTGGCAGAAAACTTGCATCCCCGCAACGTGGAAATCGCTAAAGTTTCCAATAAAATTCCGCCGTGCTGGCACGCAAAGCCAGAGCTGTGGATTGCGCAAGTGGAATCACAATTCATCGCCGCTGGTATTTCGAATGACAAAACCAAGTACCACACAGTCGTGGCGGCAATAGAGAGTAACGTTCTGGC